TGATCTGAACCAACCTTAAAAAATCTATTTTTTAATTTCAGTGGCAGGATAAGAGTTAATGCTGATATGATGTAAATTCTGGACCGAATTTCTTTTATTGAAAATTATCATTAGAATAAATTAGTGCAGCATAAAGGTCTTTTAGTTTCTGTAACAAGTTCAGTATGATACGCATCAACATCAGATGGGTTAGAGCACTGACTTATTTGAGATGCAGATATGAATTGGAGTTTTGCGTTATATTTTTCCTCTCCAGACTGGACTAATTTAGAGGGTTATGGAATGGAAAGGGTGTACAACCCCTAAACATCCCTAAAAACTTAAGTATCACCCTCCCCTCCATCTACTCGGGGATTCATACAAAAATATTGACACAATGACCGGTGTCTGTTGTCCGAATGATAGGGATCGGAACAGTGACGGCTGTGTTTGGTCTGGTACCATCGAAAATTAACACAAACCATACAGTCTATATAGGCTTCATACATCTGAGACGCTAGGGCTCTGACTTATTTAGAATGAAAAAATGAGTTTGACGCCCAGATCGTTCTAATGAAGGACATTTGGAATGGAGAAATGAAATGAATGGAGTTTTACGTTCTACTTTTCTGCACCATGTGGGCCAATGAAAACGGAGGATATGTAACTAAAATTATATCTAATTCATGAGTCCAAAAATACGAGGGTTTCCACCCCCAATATATCCGAAAAAAGTTCAAAGCATAAACAACCCCCATCCTTTACTAAATACTCGCAGACTATTTTGAGATTTGGCTGACAAATGTATAGCGTTTTTTTTTCAATTTGATTTGCACCACTCCAGTTCTCGGTCAGATTTCTGCGAGTCTTGGAATTCCACTAAAACTAAGTGTTTTATTACATAGCTATCTCAAAGACCTTTTGAACAACATGTGATTGTAACGCCATACAAGGTTAAGAATTCAATAATTACAAGAACCACAGACATCTTACGCAAATATTGGAATGGTGCAACTATAAGCCACAAATTAATATCGCCTTTAAGTTCATATTGCTATGTTTTTGGCCTGGCACTATCGTAAATAAACACAAACCCGAATCAAAAGAAAAGCAAAACATCAAGGATATTTTTTATTGTCTGGTCATTACATATATATATCAACAGTGTATGTCTGTGCCTCAGTAGATTAAGGAAGACATCCACTAACCCAGCTTTCACTGCACCAATTTTTAGGCTTTTTTTTATAATATAAGACACCCCCTAATCTTACAGCTCCTTTATATCTATTAGCCCATTTTGAACACTTCTCTCTATCCTGACTGTTTCCTATTCCTCGACACGCGTTTTCCATATCTGTAAGAAATTTAGCATCACATCTAGATCTTGAAATAGCCCTTGCCGCCCCCTAAAATAGAAAACTAAAAATCAACGACAGGAATAAACTACGAACTCCTACCGCCAGGCCCGTACTACAATAATAGATTGTGATGACGTCACTAATCGCTAAATATGATTATATCATATTTAAGGCCCTACGCGATTAGTGACGTCATCAAACTCTTAGTTTTTGTGGAATTGCAGAAACCACAGACGTCTGATTGAAACTTGAAATAGTTCAAATTGATGCTATCAGTGTCTCCGATACACAATTTTGTTTTAAGAAACCTTTTTTAATTAATTAACTTACACAAAAATAACAAACATCGTGTTTGTAACAGGATGGTGTAAATTTCTGTTTAAAAGGCAAAGGTAAACCGAAGGGTATACTACATCCATTGATATCGCCGTTACGGTTGCATTGTGCTGTTACTAACCCAACCAGGCCTGCCGCAATACACACACCAAATACCAGTGATAACCGCATCCTGAAATACAGTTTACATGTTTCAAAATGGAGCCTTATTCACAAAAAACTAAGAATTATTTTTTACAGTAATCTGATTTGATTATAAAACTAAATTTAAAATCGATTGAAATAATAAAATCATCTTAGGTAAGGTTTATGAGAATAAGGCCCTTTATTTCTTAAATCATTAAAAATGTTTGGAATTGCCGTTGGAATGGGTCGATCTGAAAATCAAGTCTTCAACAGTATAGGATATTATGATTAATGAAACTTTGTAATTTTGCATTTGCCCTCCTAGAAAAATGGTTTGCACCCTCAATTTTACCTCCACTTGATTTTTAACAAATTTAAAAATATGATCTTTTTACTTTTGTGCTCCAAAATATGTTTTAGAATGCACCAAACCCCCTTAGCCAACACAGAGTTTGTATTCATTTTGAATTCAGCTTTGATAATTTGTCCCCCACCCCCACCCCCATTGAGTCGGACTGCCGCCAGTCTCGGGAGGCAGCACCACCACTGGACCGATGATTGATCAACAGTTAATCAGATTCTTTAAAATGCTATCAATACAGCCAGAGCTTGTTGAAAATCCAATAACTTTCAGATATTGCTGGTTGCAAAAGGACTTAAGATATTTAACTTACCTAGTTGAGGAGTCGAAAAACTGAAGAAGAACAGTTGGTATTCAGAGAGACAAAAAGAATACGTAGACGGTAGTAACATAATCCACGGATGGACTACAAAAAGGCATGAAAGAAGATACTTACCTGTTTGCTTGTTCTTAAGATATACTAGTTTTGGAGAGATTGCAGTCAACTTCCAACGTCTGTCCTTCTTCTCCTACATTTTATAGTCCATTGTTGCAAAAACTTATTCATTTCTTTATCCAAGATCGCGCTAAATTAAAGATGGGTTCACTTATGTTCATATATTTATATATATATTCAATTATTGGATGTCTAATACTAATATCAATCG